CAGCAGGCCAGGCAGAAGCAGGACACAACTCCTGCTAGTTCTGCGGTGTCTCTGGCACACACCATGCAGAAAGCTTGGCTCTGCGTGATGCACGTGCTCCCCATGTGTAGAAATTTGCTGATTTTTTTTTTTAACCTATTTTGGCCGCGAGTGAATATGTCTGCAGGGAAAATTATTTTGGTCACTTAAACAGAGGCCTCCTGTGAAGAGCAGGATGGCAGACAGCTCACTCTGACCCCTCTCAGTCCCATAAATCACTGCATCACTCAGCCCAGATTGCAGTGGACTAAAATATTGGGTGATGTCCAGCCTTTGCTGAAGCTGATGGCAGCTTTCCCACTGGCTTCACTGGGGGCACAATTTTATCTACTGCACTGCTAAATCACCAGAATATTTTTTTTTTTATGAATGAGATTTGACTTTTCTCGGCTGAAACATGCCTTACTGATTTTTAGAGATGATGCTGGATGGTTAATTTAAAAGAGAGTAAGGGGGAATATGAACAAACGCCCTGCTCTGCCTGCCCCAGGTCTGTCGCTGACCCTCTGCCATCAGAGGCGACCCCGCGCTCAAGCACACCACGTAACTGCACATGCAGCATCTCTTGAGTGCTCTATCAAAACAGTCTGATTTAGCTTAAAACCGCTTTTTGGTTAATTGTATTTAACATGGGACTGTTTCAGATGGGTGGGTAGAGAAGCAGCTCTGCCTGTGGATATTTTACAAGGTTGGAGGGGAGCTGTTTTCTCAGTCTCTCAGCTGCAGCAGAACAACATGTCTGACTAAAGGCTTATCTATAAGCAGTGGTGTCATTGATTAACTCTCTGTGTGGGTATATCTTAGTCCTGTTTGATATAATCACTTGCTCAGGAAAAGTATATCCATAAAGTTATCCAAGATCAGTTAATGTGGTGCTTATATTCAGACATCTGCTTTAATCTTTGTTCATTTTCAAGTCTAGATGAGATTCAAAGCTACTGAACCTGACTAGACCAGACCAGACACCTTAAAGGTTAGTTAAAGAACTCCTTAAACTTGTTTAATCGCATATTTATATGCTGGGATACTGACTATGGCTGCCTGTAGCCTTGAAGTCTCACCTAATGTTGGGCCCCTGGGCACGTCTGGGACATAAATGTAGCAACGAGGTCCCATTTCCCTCGTAAGGGCTACCGAATAAGAAAGCTCAGCATTTACACTCCACCTTATGTCTTCCGAGTATTTCACAGATACACGAGACTGAGGTCGCTTATACATTAGGCAGCAAGGGTTTTGATGAACTGCTCGTTCAGCCATTCCTCTCCACCTCCCTTGATCGAAGGATGGCTTCGGCTTCTTCCAAATGACCCCTTGGATTGGTTAGGCTCTTGGTTGGCTCTGCTGTTAAGTGTCTCCATGGAACAGATTTTACTTCTAATGACGTCTCGTAACTGTCTTTAAAGAGGTTTATGGCTCAGCCTTATTCTCTGGGAGATGGGCTGTTCTCTGCTAATCTACAGAAACACCGTTATTGGTTCACACAGTATTTCAGTTAGTTCTCCTCAAGCTCTAGAGTCAAGTTAATTGGACGTGACCGACCTGTGTTAGAGAATTACTGGTAGATGAGTAATATTAAGCAAAGGAAATAAGAAGTTTCTGTACTTCAGAACACGCTGGGAGTTGCGGGGAGCGGCAGGAAATGGCAGCTCAAGAAGTGTGCAGACCCGGGCCCTGGAAGAGGGTTGATTTAGGGAGCAGGGAAGTGCTTTGTAATAACTGAGGTTTGTAAAAGCCACAGTCCTTTCTAAAGGAGAGCTAGATGGGGTAAAAATATATGTGAGTCTTGAGTGGCTACACAAGGCAGAATTACAAGAAAGAAGAGAAACAGGTTGTGGCAGACCTGCGAGAATGCTATTTTTATAATTGCTTTTTTCTTTTAACACTGTCATATAGCTAACAAAACCTGAATAAAAGTAGTCAAGGAATAAATAGAGCAGGATTTCATCAGAATGCATTTGTGTTTCCAACTGGAAACTGCATGTGGAAGGCAGGTCCAGGATACTGAAAAAACGCCGAGTGATTAATGGACGTGACACTAGTCCACAAGACAAATACGAGTCCTGTAACATCCCCAAGCAGCTCAGGACACAAAACCACTGGCAGTGTTTTTGCAGAGCAGCTGAAACCTTGCTGCTAAATCCTGGAACTTTTGGGCACTGTTTCCCAATTTGCTTTTACATACTAACCCACTGGATGGGGTAAACCCAGGAAAAAATTACCTGTATGATAAAACCAGCATATATTCTGTAGTACAAGGCTTTACAGTATTGCCATATTAAAATTGCCAGTCTCAAAACTTCTTCAGCTAAAGTAAACTTCCTGAGAGAACTATAGGTGTCAGCACTCAGTTTAAAAACGTGTAAGTACGTGCTTAACTCTACTGAGACGTGAAGTTTCACTGAGATCAGCAGCACTACTTCAGTCAAGTTACATCTGGGGGAGTGTCTTGAAGGTCAGGCCTCAAGTACGGACGTACTTCAGATTCATGTCGGCTGCCGGATAATCCCGGCAGCGGGCACCTGGGTTGCAGCACCGGTGACGTGATGTGATTTGCTATAGCAAATAATTATACTTCTATCTCATGGAAGACTGCGTTCTCTCTCTTAAACCTTATGTATTCAGGCAGGGGGAAAAAAGTCAGTGTGCCTAAACTTTAAGTCTCCTTCTAATTAGAAAGCTGGAGCTCAAGCTAATATGCAATCTGAACGTGTCCTCGTTTTAATCTCTGTGGACCTGGTTCTGCAGTCAGTCTTTCAAGGCACACCCCTGATCCCTGCTGGACTGTGCAAGCAGTGATGCACTATTCCAGTTTCCCCAATTTGAAGTCCTGCTGTTCGGGAACTTAGTTCTGCAGCTGGGACTGGGATCCCCACCGTAAGATGGATTTTGCAGTTTGTAAGAACTGCAAAATTCGGCCCCTTGGGGCAAATGGACTTTCTAAGGGGCAAGTGTGTATCCCCGCTCACCGGCACTCGATGAAACACTGGCCAATCTGATCCTGGAGAGTCTCCTTGATGTTGAGCCCTTCCATTTCTCTCAGCTTGTCCTTGATGTCCTCCTCGTGTCTCTCCTGGACCTCACCTTGCAGGGCATTTACTTGCCCAGCATACATCTGCGAAACACTTGTTGCCTTTAAGTGAGGAGGCAGGCTCTGAAAATGACAAGAGGAGAAAACAAAAGGTATGAATGAAAAGAAACTTAATATAAATTGGAATGCCAGGTTGACAGTGAATCCGAGCTTAAGCCTTAATTTATTTGCGGGAAGCCAGGAAAAAAACCCCTTGTGCTCATAAAAAGTGCCTGGATGCACACAATGGCCTATTGTTAGTGTTTCAGCATTAATTAACAACATTGCAATGTACAAAAACAACCCTTCCAGCGTGGGATCCTGGGATCTCAATGAGACAGGTGAGAAAGCTGCTGTTCTGCAAATGCCAACTTTATCCATGTCAGAAGGGTGCCAGAGATTTTTTTTAATTGAATTTTCAAATGTTTGGACTTCCCATTGGTACTTTTTAATTAGCCTGTATTGTTTTTAATTTGTTCGCTTAAATTTTTATATGCACTGCTTGGTCAGTGGTTTCCTGGTATTTTGTTGCAGCTGGTCATATTCCTTTAGGAAATCAACTTCCCTTGAGGAACAACAACAACAAAAGAATAAACAACCCTCCAAACGCTGTAATAAAAATTATAGCTCCCCAAGTTTCCCATGATTTGATAACCTTGGCAAGAAGGACTTTTAAGCCAGTTTAAAGTCTTACAATAATTTCTGCTTTGATTGATTTTACATGTGTACTTTGAGAGAGAAAAATGAAAGTCTTTCTGGTATGCAAATACAGAAGCATGAAAAATACCATCTGCGTGGGTGGTCTGAAACTTCGCATTTTTTTAGTTTGCAATGGTTGATAAAGTTAAGATGTTCCCAGTGTTTTACAAGCTATTTCTCCCTTGCAAGTGTAGAGAAAAAGTATATTTTAAAAATTAAGTTGTAAATTAGCGTTGGTTTTTTCGCAATTCTAGAACAAAGTATTTTCCACGTACTTGGGAAGAAGCAATTATTGTCTGATAGTGTATGCCAAATTTAAGGATGGAAAAGAGGAGAAAACACGATGATTGGGTTTTGTAATATGATGTGTTTTACTCTTCAAAGTTAGTGACCATCTGACATATAGGTGGCAGCATACGTGAACAAAAGCCTGGGACTGTTGGTTTGCATGAAAAAAAATCCACCCTATACTATTCCGCTCTGGCCGTCCACCCTCAGAATGTATAGAAACTGTTCTTAAATCAGCATGACCAATTTAGTAACACATTCTCCTCGCTCCGGTGATGTATTTCCTAGTGTGCTCCAAGTCCTAATTCCAGAGGTCTCCCGCAAAGACAAAAAAAAGCTTCTATCAAAGGTTTGGCCAGCTTATATTTAAGATCTGTTATTCGGTGTTTTTTCTATGCTTCGACCAGGTTCCAAAAATCACTAACAAGTGCCAAGCAAATTTGGTTTCAGAAAGTACACAGCAGGATTGCAGACTATCCAAAATAAGCGCAGAGGCCCCGTTCAGGAAAGCAATTTACTGCCTTCCCTGCATCTGCAACGTGTGACTCGCGCTGTGCAAAAGGAATCGGTCAAGGCCACCAGTGAGAAAATATTCAAGAGGAAACAAGAGCAGCAGTGCGCTTTTGAAAGGCGGCTGCACGCGCTCTTGTCCTGAATATATGACCCAAAATGTTGCCTTTCACCCCGAGATGTTACCTTCACTCAATTCTTGGTTTCCATGGAAGTCGAGCGTTTCCAATCTTCACCTCCACCGGCACCTATCAGCACAACTAATATTAACGCTATTTATTTGGATTCCACCATTGTCTGCCTTACTAATGTTAAATGAACCTCAGGACAGATGCGATGCTGCTTTCTCAGGGTGGCTCATTTGGAAACCAGAGGAAGACCCAGGAGGTCTGCTTCCCAGATTGAGATCCAGAAACAAGATCCACATCCTTCAGGCAGTTTCCCCCTCAACTTTTGCTTCCCTACAAGGATGCTCAAGGGAACTGCTTTTGAGAAGTTCCCATCAGAGCACTACTGCCTCGAGGTATCGGCAGCAGGGCTGCTGCCAAAGACATGAGCCAGCTAGAGCCCACCCAACTCTTCCATGTCTTTGTATACTGGTGCACCATGGTCTGAACAGCGCAGAGGACAACCAACAGATTTCCTAACTAGATAAGTCACCAAAGGAAGCTGGGGAAGGGCTGTTTGATTTAGAAGTATGTTTTCCAGTGTATTCCCGCTGAAGATATGTGAGAAGAAAAGGGATAAAAGAAAGAAATCTAGGGACTGAATGAGTATTTCTATGATCAAAGGCAGCTGTGATGAATGCTGAAGATGTCCTGCTGGGTGGCCAGAAGGACTGCCCCCCTCCTGTCTCCTTTGGGAAGCGACAAAATTGATGTTCAGGTCTAGGCAACTCGGTGCGAGGGGCACAAGGATATCTCCAGCTTTCTCCATCGGCTGCAGATCAGCCTCACTAAAGACAGGCTCCTCTACAGCAGGCTTGGGGGTGGACTGTCATGAGATGGCTCACCAGATGAACAGCGCTTTGGTGCTGGGAAGGGGCAGCTCCCCCTCCACCCTAACTGCTGGATGTGTGGTCCCTTCTCCTGCACAGGCTCTGGTGGTGAACCGGTTCCGATCTCTAAGTGGAAAATAATCCCTTTTGTCTTTTCTTCCTCTCTCTCACCCCCTCAGGTTAATTGTCTCCTGGTATAATGAGGTGAATCAGCTAGCAAAGGAGGCAGCTGAGGGCCAGAGCCATAGCAAGGGAAGTGGTGGGTGGGCATGGGACCAAGGTGGAGAGCAGATATTGCCCCTGCAGCAGCACAGACAGGAGAGCTCCTCTTTGCCCTCTCTGAACCTTTCCTCTGCTCAGCTTCTCTGAACTGCTCTCCACCACGTCTGGAGAGAGCTGTTGACCAGCTACTTGTCACTGTGAATTTACTATCAGCGTGTCTTTCATCAGCACCAAAGCCAGATGAGGCGGTAACTGTTTGAACTGGCAAGAACATGCCCGCATGAGCAAGACCAGAAGTAGGAGATTCTTATCTTTAAATGAATTAATACAGACCATATCTATGTTTGAGTCCAGAGTCAGAAGCTGGTGTGGACGCAGTCCAGGTAGCTCTAAACCAGCTGGCACAGATGCTGATAGCAACAAGGCTACAGAACATGGTCTGGTCAGCAAACTCCAGGCAAGCCCTGAGTAAATATTTGTGCAGCTACCTGTCTGAGCACCACAGAGTTATCGATATATCTGCTGGTACTAGTTTCTGAGCTGCACTCAAAGCCCTAAGGCTGAAGTACAAATATATCCTTGTGGAACAGCTTATGAAAAGAAGCTCTGTTGTATTTGCCCTTCACATTTTTTCTTTTCAAAGACTGTTTTACTACAAGAAAACACAAGAAACAGAAACCAATTCTACCAACAAGAGTCTGGCTACCCACCTTTGGTAACCCACTACAGAAAGGAACGAAAGAGAAAGGGAAAGCCGGTAAGACCGTCTGCTCATTTGACTTTTTTTTCACCCAGTCTTACTGATTTCTGGTTATTAATATTTTCTAAATGTTAATAACATGGAAAAGAGTCTATTTGGAGGAAGAGGCCGTTGCTGATGTGCAATGGGCTGTTGCTTGATGGTTTGCACCACTGGGGGAAGCAGTGCTGGCTCAGACCTAGGTGGCCAGATAAGCTGGGGAGGAGGGTTAGGTGTTGGAGAGGAGACAACGAGATAAGATGACATGGCAGGTACGGAAAGACGCTTGATCCGAGCCGGAGTCGGTGCTGCCAGGCAAGCTATTGCGATGAGGAGATACGTTATTAACAAATGACATCCTTTGAAGTTGGGCTAACGATGGACAGACAGTTGCCAAACCAGGGGCTCCTGCTACAGTGCAACAGCTTTGGCAGCAACATGCTCCGGCTCGGGTGGGTGAGGAAGAGCATGAAATGAAGAGCAGAGCTGGGTGTGACAAATGGGTCCTGAAGGATTCACGGCTGTCTAATGCGGAACATACGCAGTGTGCCCTGCTGGAGTGAAGACCAGGAGGCCGGCGCATGTCAGGAACTGAAGGCTGGCTTTTGTTCTGGGGGAGGAGCAGGAGGCGGCGAGTGCTGAACGGCAGCGGGGAAATCATGCCACAGTTGTTTGATTTTTAGGTAAAACATTACAGGTGAACGTACAACTGGCCTGACTTTCTGTTCTGTTACTTTGAGATCAATGCATTTACGTCAACAAAAAAAGGACTTGGACATCAGGAAAACCAGCATGAGGAAGTATCAGAAGAACTTATGTGTACGTGGGCTAACAAGTAAAACAGAGAATATCTTATAAAACTGCTTCCCTGGCCTATAAAAACTGATCCAAGTGTACTTAAGGGCGCAGATGATCAAGAAAAGCAATCGGTTGGTAGAGCATAGGTAGAACGTGAAAGATGAACTAGATGAAAGTTGAGTGTGGAAGCAGTCTGGGGTCTTCAAAGGGAGAAGGAGTCTACGTGAGAGCCTTGAGAGTTTGTGTTCCCTTGTCAAGGAGCAGACTTCAGAAGAAAGTACGTCTGAAAAAGCTTTGGCCGTGTGGGGATGCAAGCTGCTTTTATAGCCCTCTACGCTTAATGTAGGAAGACAAAAGCCAATTTATTTCTAACATTGCTTTTCTCAGTGCCTCTAATGTTTCTGCTTCTGAATCAAAGGGAGGCATTCTACAGTAAGACACTAATAAATAGCTTTTCCTTGGGGGAAGAAGCGTTTTCCCATCTTCAAGAAATTTCTTTGGCCATGTGAAATTCAAATTTGTTAACGTGCCCGACAAACAGCAACTCATTTAGAAACAAATTACAAATATTAGATGGAGACAGTGAACTTGATAATGCAATGCTGCCACATCAGTTGTAGAATAATGCATCTTAATGAAGGCTTCCCATGTGAATAAACCATTATATTTACAAGCTTTTCACAGTTAATGACCCAGAACTGGATAACGAAACTCACATTTTTAGTGTGGTCCTCTGTCAGCAAAAGTATACATATTAATAATTGATGTTGCTGTAAAAATAGGACATAATATGAAGATTCTGGAGTTTGTGGGAAAATAGGACTACACAGT